ACAAGTTTTTCATATAACCTTGGTTTGTCCGCTTCTAAATTTCCAGCAATTATTTGACCGGAGTTGTTTGATTTGGCAACTTTCGTAAACCAATGAGGAAAGTGACAAACTGACGCCTTCATATTGGTCAGGTCAAACCCCCAAAAACTTTAGTGTTTAAATATACTTCAATACAGACTCCAGAATACGCCTTTAATATCATAGTCACTTCAATAAGTAGATGGTTGCATATTGGGGGGATTTTCTTCTTCGGATCTCTAGCACGAAGGTCTTAAGGCAGTGAGGACATCCTCCTTAGTCGTTACTATACTTTACCCCTTACTCAATATGTCTGCGTTTTTACACCTGTGTAAAAAATATGACAGAAATAAAATAAAATAAAAACAATAGTTATCGGGTATATTTAAGTAATTACGGAGAGCTCTTGCTTGACATTCCGGAATATGGTGAAATTACTAGGGTTTCGATCGATTTAGTTCTCAGATAATAGGGACAGATGTCGCCGCTAGGCAGGCTATTACTTAGGTACGGATAGACTACGTATTAATGGTATCAGAAGGATATGTTCTGCTTGAAATAGCACTTGTACTTATATCCAAAGCACTGTATAATTTCTCTAAATAAGAAATCATCTTCATAAATGGGAATATCATTTTACATTGATCCTCAGAGGTTGTCCGCGATATCCCCTTAACTAGGTGGTATTTAATAGAATCATGCAGCTTTGGCAATACTGGATTGGCTAATATACTTATTATTATACGTCGCTTGTTATTGTAAATAGTGTTACTGAACTATGCTAGATTACATGAAAGTTACAAACAACGGCCAATTCAGGGGCTGAGGGGGTGATATCTCATCACAAAATCATGTGTTAGGATTGTTATCATTTCATCCTTAATCAGCACGTCTCCCAGATCATCCCAGCCCTTAACACTCGAAAGTAATGTTCATAATATTCACTATTAGTATTTTCTCACATTTACGCTATTTATGGATATTCCGTTGGCAAGGCATGGTGGTACTTGAATACATTGTCTGGATCCCATTCCTTCTTTAACCTCGCGAGCCTAGGAAGCTTATCTTTTCCGTATATCTGCTCAAGTGTCTCGTCGCCATGGGCGTAGTTTACGTATACCGATCGATCAGGATACCCCGACGTAGTGACAATATCTTGGCGTAGCTCACGAGCTACAGCAATCGCCGGCTCCTCGACAGGGTTTCCCCGCTGGGGCCAAGACATCAAGAACGAGCTGAAATGTAAGTTAGCTGTCAGGAAAAAGGGGCGGTCTGTTTTGACATACAAATCACCTATGGCATCCCGCCATGGATATGCTGTAGCATCATCTGGCACGGCGGTCATGGCTTGGTTGGAGAATGTCTGGAATATGGTACTGCTAGCCCGGGCGTCTGGATTTGCCTTAAAGAAGGCATCGAGCTTGTCAAAGATCGACTTATACGTTTCGGCCGCGAACCTACGGATATTGGCAGAGAAAATAACATAGACATTGCCCGGCGGTGACGTCGAAACTCCGGCGCCGAAAAGGATCGTGTGCTGTACCCGACTATAAGGGACGCTACTTGCACGCAAGACTGGCGGACCGATATCAAAAAAGGGTGCGAGAACTTGCCGAGCTTCTGATTCAGGACCACTATAAATGAAAGTGGCTAGTATCTGTGTCTTCATGGGCTGTAAGCTTTAGAGTTGGTGAATGTGATGGGGTGTAGCACTTACGGAGTTCGAACCAGCATCCCAATGAATCAGAGAAGCCACCGCCAATCCAGGGGGCATCTTGTTTTCAAATGACTGCAGAACATCAAAATATGCGGATTGCATGTTCGCCGGGTATAGAGCGTCAGCAGTAAAACACTGTGCATCATTGATCGCTTTATGGAGCTGATAGGTAGCCGATGTGATGATGCCAAAATTAGCACCAGCGCCGCGAATACCCCAGAACAAATCCGAGTTCGTTTTCTCAGATGCCTCAACGAGACCCCCATTAGCAGTAACTATGCGTACAGAGACGAGACAATCGATCATCAAGCTAAAATAGCCTTGGAAAGGGGAGACGCCAGCTCCTATCGTAACGCCAATGACACCGGCAGTGGGACAACTACCAACAGCTTTGAATGGTTAGCATATGTGTCCGAGGCGAGAACATATGTAAAAATTAAGATTAGGAGATCCTAGTGCCCAACACAACAGATAGCATTTAATTATAAAAGACTTTAATAACTTACGAAGTTCGTACCCGGCCTCCTCTATCGGGTTGATAACATCATCAATCGTGATTCCCGGCCCGATAACAGCAGTACCAGAATCTTTGTCGATCTTGATCGTTTTCATCTGGCTGAGATCAATAGCCAGTCCACCATCAAGTTTGCCTAATGTAGTGCCGTAGCCATGACGACCTCCCGTAGCAAGGAATGGAATGTTGGCAGCTCTTGCGGCTTTGACCTAACGAATATGTTATCATGGTATACTTAGCATAGCAACACTACCTTCTTACGATTTCTACTACTTCCTCTTCAGTCTTCGGTGAGACAGCCGCGGCAAATTTCGGAGGTTTGTAAACAGTCCATCGCAATGTTGCGTTGGTGAATTCGTCCGAGCCAGGGCGGCAGACTTGCGTACCAGCGGGCCACGAAACGTTCGTGCCGGCGAAAGGAGACGTATCCCCCATAGTCGAATAGACGATTGCAGTAGTATCTCTTACTATCTATGTTGAAATATATCTCGGATATCCAGCCTCAAAGGAGGCCTTGAAAATCGACAGAGATTGTCCTCACTTGAAGCTGTCAAGTTATACCGTTCGGGAAGTAAGTTAAACCAGCCCGGTAAAATAAGATGGATAGAGATTTATATATAAGAAAGCAGGCAACCAAGCAACGTATTGCGTATTCCCTTCGAATCATTGATAGCTATTACGTCGTCCCCGCTCAAAGCCAGTGACGGATATAATAGTCGAGACATCCAATTGTCTCGGAGTCACGGTGACACGACTACCGTAGTGCTTACTACCCCATATTATTCTTCCTCCGCGCCATCACCACACATTCTCCCATACTTAAAGGCCAAGATAAATATGAAGAGGCCAAGTAGGTAAGTATATGCATTGGTATGGCAAACGCTAGAGGTGAAGGAATGGGTGCTAGATTCAAAACTTCCTGCTACCTAGAGGTACTTATGTACTTAGATATGGTAGAACTATACTTTTTTGAATGGAGTAAATATGACTTCTTTTACAGTGAAAATAACATCACTTAAACACGAATTTAGTAATAGTAAAGACATCCTACTTAGGTGTTGATGTTGTTCAGGAAGCGTTCACAAGTACCTAGGGGTCGCTGACACGGAAGTGGGGTCACACAGTCCAAAGTAGTTTCAACAACACTGTATGAATTTCCGATAAGGATAGATAACGAACTTTTTGGCATGACGGAATCGATACGCACATTCGAGTCCCCTCGAAATCTCCGAATAAGCTCTACGGAGCCAACCGACGACCATACCTAGGAAATCTTCCAAACCTCTCGATCCGTCATGGGCTGGTGGAACAGTCTCTGGTCGTCGAACACGACGGGCGCCGACCCCCTGCGCACGCTCGACCCCAAGCTCCGGGAATTCCTCGAGCGCGAGTCGCCCGTGAAGTACAGCGCCGCGCAGCAGCAGCAAGAGGCCGCCGCCGCCGAAGAAGCCCGGCAGAAGCAGCAGGAACAGAAAGAGCATCAGCAGAAGCTAAGAGAGGAAGAGAATGAGAGGGCGGAGAGAGACGGCCCGCGGGTCCCGACGCAGAGCCAGTTCCAGGACGGGCGGTACGCGCACCTCTGGAAGACGTACCGGCCGCTCGCCGAGATCGAGGCCGAGACCAAGAGCGACCACGAGAAGCTGATGGACGTCCTGGAGGGCTACAAGGAGCGCAAGAACAACATCGGGAAGGCGGCCCTGGAGAACTGCGCTATCGAGCAGGTCGATTGGAGGAAGTGCATGAACAACCCCACAGTTGCAGAGCGCATGACCTTATGTCGCGACCAGGTCAAGAAGTTTGAGAGGTGTTACTTGATGCAGAATGTGGGTGCATGATTTTCATCCATTCCCTTATGAATTCTCTTGGCAATTGGTGGGATTGAGCTGACTTGTTATCTATTTGCTACGTCACAGAGACTGCTAAAAGCCCTCGGCTACTTATCAACCTACGACCGCTCCCCCGAAATCGAAGAAGAGATCCAACTCCACGCCGACGCGCTATACCACCGTCTGCTCTCGCAAGAAGCCGAAATCGCCGCCGCGAAGCAAGAAGGGCGCCCGATACCCCAGTTCCCGCCACTAATACAGCGGATAAACCAGTTACAACAAACACAGCAGCAAGAGGAGATGGCGAAGGAACAGCAGGAGGCGTTGATAGAGCGGTTGAAAAAGGTACCCGAGCGGGACCGGGTCGCGGAAGAAGCGGCTATTAGGGCCGAGTGGCACGCGAAGTCCGAGGTCGCGTCGCGAGTGGAGGATCTGTGGAGGAAGCAAGATATGGAGAGACAGCAGCGGAAAGAGAAAGGCGAGGAGACGATGTGGGACAAGCTCAGTGGGACGTTTCGCCGTGGTGATGGTGAAAATAAGAGCTGATGTACGCTTCTTTATTCCTAGAACCCCACGACCAACTCCTAGGCATGAAATTCATGATAGATGATGATACAGGAGGGAATGATGCATGGCTTTGGCCATGAGGATCCATATCTACTAGATGCGATTGTATCATACTGTATCTGTGCTAAACACTTAAATGTACGCTATAGTTATCTATGATCAAGCAACTCCAATGAAATAAATAAGTCAAAATAATGGTATAGGAGGCATGTCGTTTATTTGATCGAACTATACATACGTACCTAGCCGGACAACTAGGCAACTATTGCGAAATAAGAAAACCCGAAAAGTAAAAGGAAGAAGAAAAAATCTCCCAAATTGAAGTATGAGAATAATGAGAGAGAGAAAAAAGGAATTTAGGTCTCCCTGGGAATCGAACCCAGATTGGCGGAAGTCTCCTCCATCCCGGTGGTCCAATTTGCGTAACCACTCTTTTTTAGTGCCCACAATATTGTCCGGGGGGGACTCAGAATCCGCAGTGCTAGCCATTACACCAGGAAACCATTGATTGGATGTACGAAAACCTTAAAATCATAACCTATATTCTATTCCAAACGAAGGCTTTTGGTTGATTGGTTCGATATCACTCAATGCACACCGCCAATGTTAGACTCTAAGTGCTTCAGCTTACGTTCCTTCACATGGAACCGCATTCTTCTAGAGTAGGCCAAGTAAATGATAGTAAATGGCAGAATATAAATAAATGTCATAATAACAATTATTTTCTTTATCAAAGTTGTAAGAACCGAGAATAAAAAGCAAAAAAGAAACGTGGTATCCTCGTGGCAGTGTTTCAGATGAACCATTCGGAGAGGGAAATGGTGTAACATTGGACGAATGAATCGTGCCAATTCCCTCCCCAAGTTCCCAGTTCATACTCCAAGAGGCCAAGAGGATCAGCAAAATGCGCATACGACACGATACATGTACATGAAAGGATGATGGCGAAATCAGGGTCCCGTTTGACAGCACTTGGGATGCGCCGCCAAGAGATCGCCAAGGCGTAAGGCAAATGCTTATTTCGACAAGTTGGACCCAGAATAGTATTCATGTTAACTTCATCTCATTCTTGTCGCTGTGATTGTTATTAGTAGTCACTGGTAGCATCTCTTATAACGAAGGGAAAGGTCCCGTAAGATGTCACGACAAATTGACACAGAACAGCCGGTTTAATCTTCATCACTCGGCACCCTCTTGGCACTCGTAATATTGAGAACATCCAAAAAAGCTGGCAGTCATTGGTTGGAAAAAATCATGGTATTGTTGTTGAAAGATTTCTATTGACCGAAAGCAATTCTCACTACCAAAGACATAAACTCATTTCGTCCATCGCTCACTACCATGGTCACATTAATTGATCCCGAATGCCCCGATATCGCCAGGTGTTTCCGTGCAACGATCATGTTATCGTGGCAATTCGATGCGGGGTATAAGTCGTTTGTGCAATGAGTTGGCGACGAGACGGTATGACGTGGTACTCGTTTCACGACGTTACGGGAAATTTCTTCAAAGCGATAACAATGGGGAAGTCGTCAATAGCCGGCTACATTTAGCAGCAGCCCTCGTCGCAAGCGCAGAGACCGCAGCAGATCTCGCAGCCAGCTTCCTCACCACCACGGAGGTTGCCCATGTCGGGTTGGGGTTCAGTGGACTGTGTAACTATGGTGTCAATTGGGCTTCTTGGGTGGTTTGTGACCTAGTACATATAGAGGGGAAGGACGAGATAACTTACGGGCTGCTGAGTAACGATGCCGTTGTTGGAGGTCATCTCCATGGGAGCTTGCTGCTGGGGCTCTTGGGGGGCAGGCATTTTGATTGTTTGAGGTTGGTTGTTGGTTACGAAGAGAATGGCTTGACTTGACAAGAGTCTGAAATGGACGACTATGGCGAGAGATATACGAGTAGAAGACAAGAGCGGTGAAGACTTCTATTGTATGAGGTTGAAGGAAGAGGGGGAGGGTTCTCTTTATCTATTCGGCGGATATTACGGCAGGTATATGGGAGGCAGCCCAATGCATATCCATCCTACCTTCCTTCGTCCAATCGTCCAATGTCCATCGTGATTGCCCTTGGGGGTACGAGCAACGTACCTACCTCCTAGGTAATCATGGTACCTACACCTACCTAATCGCAAACAGGGGCACGCCTGACCCCAGAACCTTAACAGGTTTTCAGGGTTGTATGGTACCCTGGTCTTCAATGTTGATTGGAAACTGCACCGGTCCCAACCTACTGCAAGCCACAAAAGCTTGTCAAGGCTTGTTGCTTGAAGTTGCTGGGAGGGACCCATTGGGAATTGAAGATCCCCCGTAAATGTTGTCAATTGGTACTACCTGACTAACCTCACAGGCAATTACGTAGGATGTGATTGCCATACGTGGTGCAAGTCCACGTCTATCAATATCTAGAGCATGCCGACAACGTAGACTCACGACATAAACTGACAAGGTAAGATAAGTTTGTCGGTTGGCGGTCATCGTCTCAGTCGTCAGCAGCTTGCGTTTTGAATTGTGGCGCCCTCTTCAATACTGAATGGGTCCGTTCTAGTTAGTGCATGATACATACTAATATACCTAGGTACATGTAGGTGAGAGGAGTTAGGCGGAGTTGCAGCTAGCACATGGCCAATCATTTCCCCACGATGTAGGACCTAGATAGTATGTAGATACCCCGATACGGGGAATAGTTGTTCTAGAGCCGTCGCTTTTGACCCCAATGAAGCTGAAAATTCATGATCTATCTGTCGGTCAGTCCGCTTATATCCAAGCGCCCATATATTGTATACGAACAATATCAAAGCGGTACGCGGCATAGCCCTACGGACCTACAGGTTTTCAATTCACATCTAGAACTCTTGCCGCGGGTGTAACGATGCGCAATTGTTGATGATAGATCATTTTATTGGAAGATCATACATATATCAACAACGTGGCTATGCCCTCCTTGTTGTTGTCCGCCCGTATGAAACATGCTAACTACCCCGGTGCCATTCCTACCAACCCGTAATACAACGTCCTAACCGGCGAAACAAGCCTGACGTCGTACGTTAATATCTGTGTATTTATGCACATTTTCACTAGCTTAGGTAAGTTCCGGCAATTCCAGCTGTCTAGGTGCGCCTGTATGTCGATCTACATCAATGACATAGACAGAAGAGGCTAGGAAGGGTAAGGTCGATGGTTTAGCTAGGTAGGGCTAGCTTTAGCTGCTGGAGTCCTTATTAATATAAAAACGCAATTCCCTTCCTCTTTTAGGTAGGATTGGTGGCTTCCCAGATACAAGCTTTGACGAAGCTTTCATGGCTTAGATGCCCCAGATAATTTGATCCGCTTAGACCACGTGGAGTCCTTCCTGCTTGCCGAATTCCGTGTCGGCTAAACTCGGGCTAATTTATACTGCATGGGTCGTGTATGTACGTCCCAGTTGAGACGGGAGGGAATATAAGAGACCATACATATTCTACTAGGAATATAAATCACACTGCTCCCATAAGCGATTGTCTTACCAACGTTGATCATGGTTATGTGACTATCATTGACGTATGAGATGGTACAGCTCGCACTCGGATAACATGAAGAGCTGCAGTCAGTTATAAGGGCTTAGGTGAGCCCCCTCTTGTATTGTACGCCATGTACAGTATTAGTGTCTATCAAAAATCCTCTTAACTGCCCTTTATGCCCTGTCTACGCCCAAGCAAGAAATAATATACACGAAACACAGCTGTACAGCGATACGGTCAAGACCCGACCTTATCCAGTTTTTTCTTCTCCTCGATGCAATGCAATCCTCCAACCCGCCGATCAGTCCAATGTGCTTATTCCACAAGACTCCGTCTCCTAGTTTCGGGTCCGGCTATCTAACTCGTATGAGGGATCGGGCTGGCGGGGGGAATAAGCGAAGGCCGAGTGTCCGTACTCCGGTGGTGGTTCCACTAACGGCGTCTTGTACTCGGTGTTGATGTTCTCGGGGTAGAACCCAGTCTGCGTTTCCGCTCCGAGGGCGGTGCCATCCATAAGGTCGGTCGGGTTCGAAGCGCGGGAGTAGTTGCCACCCGTATAGATACCGTGACGCTTGCGGTGGACAATGATGGCTCCGTGGACGAGTTGAAGCATGGATGTGAAGCTGTACACACGCGTCAGTTATACATGACTAACCGTAACCACGCAGACGATATATAGGTGAGTTTGGGTAGTTGGTACATACAATAGGATCAGATTCAATACGACGGCGATAACCGATAGCGCGATCACATTGAGGATAAAAAGGACACCCCAGATCGCGGACTTGATGCATGCGTTCGTCAGATATAGCGCCGGTGGCATTCGGTTCTTCGAAATCAGGACGATTTCTACTATATTCATGATGATATTCATAGCGACGATACCAATCTGGATACCAGCGGCGGTGCTGCGGGTTCATTCTGGTGTTAGCCCATCTTCATTGCCAGTTGCCCAGCCCCTCCCCCTATCGAAAAAAGGACCGCTTACGTAAAAAGCCCACGATATTGTTTGAAGCGATCAGGATAATGGTTTGAGCTTATAAGCCATAACATCCATGCCGACGCGGCGAGAAGGATAATGCAGAGGATTAATTGAATAATCCAGACACTGATGTTGATCCTCTTCTTGTACGGGTAGTTGTGCTTCGCCATGTTATCGGTTGAAAATCGCCTGTGCCGTTTGTGATGATAGGGGTAGGTCGGTCGGTCAGTCAGTCAGCCCAGTCCAGTCAGTCAAAAATAAATATATACTAAAAGAACAAAAGGAACGAGATGAAGGAGAGACGATAAATAAAAGAAGGTGAATTAAATTTTCGTAAGAGACAATTGCTGCAGCCTGCAAGAGCCGTAATTATCAAATGGATATGCGGTCACGGCTACCCCATATGACGGAGGTTGGCTATTGCTGCTGGCTGTGTCGAATGCCAAGAGCTTGTAAGGCGTAGCAACTGGAGACCTTTTGTCTTGCGCCGTACAGCACGATCCAAGTTTAATGAGACTTTATATGGAGAAATTCGACCGCATTTTGACATCTGTAGAATTTTGATTCATTCAACGGTGATCTCAGGTGGTGTCTTACGAAACACAGGGGTTTGGTATTAATAAAGGATGAATTGTCTCTGGACGTGTTTCCTTCAGATATACGGATTATACATCTTAATATTCTGCGGCGTTGTTTCTTTTTTTGGTTCCATGACACGGGGACCATGCTGGCTCGATGACTAGAGCCGTTCTGGCCATTTTGGGGGAAGCCAAGTCAATATATTATCATCACTACCATAATTCTTAAGAATTTGGCATGTTGCCAAGCCTCGAGGCTGAAGGTGAGAAACGAAAATGAGGATAATCCCCCGCAAATAGCACGTGTCGTCTAGACTGAGATAGTAAGGAAATATATAACTATACTCTGTTTGAAACTTGTCGTTTGATACCCGGCTTGTTAGATCAGTAGAAATGACGCGTAGGATGGTGCCATATACCGGTCTTAATATAACGACTGATTTC